AGAGCACAGAATAAACACAGAAGAAAACACTTAGATGGATAAGGTATTGGGTAGGACAAAGGAAAATCTCAAATTTGACCAGCCATCCCACCCACACAGCTTCGGACAGACGGTTTTCTGAATGGCCCGCCCCATAGAATGGGGCCAGAGACGAGAAGGTTGGGTCCAACAGAGATAGGTGTTGAAGGAAACACCCAGATGGATAAGGTATTGGGTAGGACAAGAGAAAGATTTCTCAAATTTGACCAACCATCCAACTCGTGCAGCTTCGACCAGGAGCTGACAAGTGTGACAGGCTGATTCCAAATCGGAATGAGCAAAAAGTCGTCAGTCGTTCAAATGAATATGGAAGCACAATCCAATGGTATTAATATGTTGAGCAAAGTAGTGGACCACACGACAAAACACGTATGGTGCTGAGACTAGGTGGAAAGGTAAGGCACAAAACTGGTACACAACCCCCATGATGGACAAACCAAAGATATGGACAGGAATGCTCTGCCACAGGAGGTAAGCACCAGAAATGTCCAAATTAGTCATCTAAAGACATAGAGAAAATGCCCACCAAAGAGAAAGGATTGTCTCCAATGTAAAGTGAGGAGTGTGAACATATAATTGAGATGGGATAAATTGATGACAGGATACAAGTCTCCAGTCTGCTTGGAAACCACAAACAAGTGGGAGTAAAACCCCTGTGAACCTGGTGAGTTGGTTCAAAAGCCTGTTGTGTGATGAGGTCTTGAACTGCCTCTGACATACTCTGGCATGGTGAAGGATCCCGAGGAGAAGGGAAGGGAAACACTGAATAATGGAGGAAGGGAGAGAAAGAGGATAACCAATCCCTCCAAGAGAACCGTGTGAACCCAGACATTGGCGAGAAAAGATCCCCACAGATGAATAGACAATAGACAAGCCCCCACTGGGTCTGAACAGTCCACATAGTCACCAGTACTGCTGTTGGCAGATTGTGCATCATCAATTAAATCATCGAACCAACAGGAATTGGTGCCACGCTCGGCCCAGAGTGTGACAAACGAGTTACCAAGTTAGTAAGGGTAGAATGTCGATGGGCCGAGGTGACTTGCAGCTCCAAAGACTCAGGAACGGAGTCATTTAACACCGCAAAAATGGCATTGTGCATAGGTCCCTCATATAAGGATGGATCGCCCATGTCCGGGGCTGAAAATATAGTATCAGACGCTGGCGAAGAACCCGAAGTGGTGATTGTAACTTTGGACTTCATAAACGTGAAACATGAGGAAGTAATGCTTTATTAAATTTTTACTCCACAAAAACATAAAAAAAGGAAAAATAAACCACTTCAAGGTAACTAAATAATGTATAAGAGAACATCTGAATTCAACAGCTGCCAAACAGGAAGTGATAGTTCAGTAGTGGCACATACATCACGTGATAGTAGTTCTTTCCTATTGGTGGAGAGGTGATGCATGATGATTTGCATGAGAGACGTGAGGAACTCTGGATTCCAACAGAGGGAGGATGAAGGCTTGTGGCCGTGCATTTCTGAAAAAGTTTGCATATAGAGGGCAGCACAAAACGAGAAAGGTTAACCTTATGAGTGGAGGGAGAGTACCTTATCAGAACTTAATCTAATAAAACCATTACTGACAAATGATCAAAAATGTTTAGAAATAAAACATTTTCTAATATTAACATTTTCCTTAACTGAAAATGTATTTCAGATAGATACTTGCCTCACTGCACCACTAACAGCTATTAACTCATGTTACTTATCTCACGGCAACACTAACAGCTATTACCTCACATAAACTGCTGTGAACTTACCTGAAATTACTAGCATATGATCATAAGATCATTCTTTATGCACTGGAAGTGGGAAGGAAAGAT